GAGCACCGGCTCAGTAGCTGTGGTGCACGGGCTTAGTTGCTCCGTGGCATGTGGGATCTTTCCGGACCAGGGCTCGAACCCGTGTCCCCTGAAGTGGCAGGAGGATTCTTAGCCACTGTGCCACCAAGGAAGTCCTATTCATTGTTTCTTAAGTGACCTAATTCAGCCCCCCGAGTGTGAGTTAAATTAACTCACTCAGGACATAAGGGTCTGACTCCTATGGATTCTGTCTGGATCACATAGGTTGTGCATACTTATTTCAGACCAGATCTTTTCTTTAATCCTTATCAGCTGATATATCTCTACCTGTTTACCCCCTCACCAGCTAAAATACTCTGTTCGTCCTTCTAAGATTTCTGCTATTACTCTTTGACTCTACATCTGGAAGTATGAATAGAAAGAAAATAAGGGCTTCCCTGGTGGTGCAGTGGTTAAGAATCCACCTACCAATGCAGGGGACACGGGTTTGAGCCCTGGTCCAGGAAGATTCCATGTGCTGCGGAGCAACTAAGCCCATGCCCACAACTACTGAGCCTGCGCTCTAGAGCTCGCGAGCTACAACTACTGAGCCCACGTGCCACAACTACTGAAGCCCGCGCACCTAGAGCCCGAGCTCCGCAGCAAGAGAAACGACTGCAATGAGAAACCCGCGCACCGCAAAGAAGAGTAGCCCCCGCTTGGGGCCACTACAGAAAGCCCACGCTCAGTAACGAAGACCCAATGCGGCCAAAATATAAATAAATAAACAAATAAATAAAATTAAAAAAAATAAAAGCAAGAAAATAAAATTACCTATCAGCAGCCTTATACCATGGAGACAACTGTTTCTCTTTTAGAAAAAGTTCCCCCATCCCCTTCCCCACCTCTTTCCATATTTAAGTTTTTAGAATGTTCTATTTATCCTTATTCCAACTCCAACTCAAAATATTAGAAGTGAGTTAGGATTTCCAAACTTACTAGTTTATTAGAAAACAGTTTTTAAAGGCGAGTACAGTTCTAAAACTGAAAAATAATGTCCTTTGTATCTTTTAAGTCTTTTCACAGACAATTTGCTCTGCCTACTTTAAAATGAGGTTTGTAATTATAACAGAGGTATTGTTTGGATGACTAGAGGAACATGCTGGGTGGTATTTTTTTTTTTTTTTTAACATCTTTATTGGGGTATAATTGCTTTACAATGGTGTGTTAGTTTCTGCTTTATAACAAAGTGAATCAGTTATACATATACATATGTTCCCATATCTCTTCCCTCTTGCGTCTCCCTCCCTCCCACCCTCCCCATCCCCCCCCTCCAGGCTGTCACAAAGCACCGAGCCAATATCCCTGTGCCTTGCGGCTGCTTCCCACTAGCTATCTATCTTACTACGTTTGTTAGTGTGTACATGTCCATGACTCTCCCTCGCCCCGTCACTGCTCACCCTTCCCCCTCCCCATAACCCCAAGTCCGTTCTCTAGGAGGTCTGCGTCTTTATTCCTGCCTTACCCCTAGGTTCTTCATGACATTTTTTTTTTCTTAAATTCCATATATACGTGTTAGCATACGGTATTTGTCTTTCTCTTTCTGACTTACTTCACTGTGTATGACAGACTCTAGGTCTATCCACCTCATTACAAATAGCTCAATTTTGTTTCTTTTTATGGCTGAGTAATATTCCATTGTATATATGTGCCACATCTTCTTTATCCATTCATCTGATGATGGGCACTTAGGTTGTTTCCATCTCCGGGCTATTGTAAATAGAGCTGCAATGAACATTTTGGTACATGACTCTTTTTGAATTTCGGTTTTCTCAGGGTATATGCCCAGTAGTGGGATTGCTGGGTCATATGGTAGTTCTATTTGTAGTTTTTTAAGGAACCTCCATACTGTTCTCCATAGTGGCTGAACCAATTCACATTCCCACCAGCAGCGCAAGAGGGTTCCCTTTTCTCCACACCCTCTCCAGCATTTATTGTTTCTAGATTTTTTGATGATGGCCATTCTGACTGGTGTGAGATGATATCTCATTGTAGTTTTGATTTGCATTTCTCTAATGATTAATGATGTTGAGCATTCTTTCATGTGTTTGTTGGCAGTCTGTATATCTTCTTTGGAGAAATGTGCTGGGTGGTATTAACATGGGAACTCCTTACAGAGGCAGGAACCTGAAATATTGTATTGAAAGAAAGAAATATGGTATAATTCAACAGCGGAAGGCATGAACTTTGAAGTGTGGGAAATCATGTGTGTAAATACCTAAAGATGAGAATTAATGAGTCATAGACTGAGAATAGAAAACTGGTTACTCAACCTTATCTGGGAGTATGGTAGAAGATGAGGACTTTGGGGGAAAGGAGAACAAATTAGCAAAAGATCTTGAAGTTATGGTTGAAGTTAAGTTTGAAGAAGTGATTGAGGTATAGAAAGGTTTTTCTATCTTGTTAAGTCTGCATTTCTCAGACTTTCTAACCATTTCTCTTTATGAATATTGGAAACATTTTCCTGATTTAAATCCTGAACAAATGGTCTGTTTATACTGCTAACTTCTTAAGTATGATACAGTATTAGGCACCCACAACTTTATTTCTGAGAAATCAATACTACACAGTCAATACCACCAACCAGTTTCCATCCTAAGGAGCCTCTATGTAAAAGTGTTCTGCATTTGCATATTGGAAAATAAATTATTATGGTTTCTGGGAATATGCTAGAGTAGGTACCCTAACCTTCTTGCTAAAAATAACTAAAAATATAGAATGAAATATATTTTTAAATTATTTTAATGCATTCGTGACCTGAAAAGTTAGTAAGGAATAGTCATGGATAAAAAACCAAGTGAAAGCAGGAAACCTGAGGGGTCAGCAGAAGGCTGAAGTCAATGTTCTCCTTGACGGCATCTGAAGCTTCAGTTTTTAAGCCTTTGAGAGCAGAGGGGACAGAGGACAAAGCCTGGGCCTGCCTGAGGTGGGGAACATAACAGAAAACAAAATTCAGGTATAGTCTGTTTATAAACGACTCATATGAAACTAAAGAATACAGAAAAATTCAAAGTAACAGGGTACAAAAAGATGTATCAAGCAAATACTGAATCAAAAGAAAGCAGTGACATAGTTTTGTAAGTATCTGGAGAAATTGTACCTTACTATGAAAAAGGATTACTAGATACAAGAGATTAATATTTGATACTGACAAGTAAGAATATAGGGGTAAGAAGAAAGTGAATTAACACTGCTTTTCAGAAAAATAATCTGACACTAACTATTAAAATATTAGATTATGTAAAATACACATACGCTTCAACCCAGCAAATCCACTTCTTTCATAATCCTTTTCACCCTTTCTTCCTTATGATTTGGACACATGACTTTGATGAGATTAAGGTTTTAGGAAGCAGACAATATAATAAATTGTTGATTTAAAGTCTGTAAATGTAATTATGTGTTGAATGAAAAATAGTGCCATAGTTGAATGGAAATAAGGTCATAATGAATTTAGGTAAAGAGGTATTTGTTGCAGAGTAAAAATGTGGCCATTATAAACAACCTTGTGTTTGGTAGACATTACATTAATGTTTTAGTAGAAAACTAGATCCCCCGACTATTTAGAGGCCTTCCTTGCATTTTGGAATGGAATAAACCCCTCCTCCCCCCCAAAAAAAATTCCAAAAAACAAAACCAAGGAAAACCCTAGGAACTTCCCTCAGAAAATTAGGATCTCTACTAGTAGGTCCTGGCCAGGCTTGCTTCTCTGGAATCTCAAATAGACCCAATGACATAGCAAAGAATGAAATGCAGAAGTATGAACATGAAGTAGCACAAGAAATTCCTGTCATGGTAGTAAGCTGGACTCTTGAGGGCTGAAGGGCCTAGTCTCCCTGACACAAACCCTAAAGAGGGAGCAAGTCATTGCTCTGGGCTCCCCTGATCTGGAAGGTTTCTCATTCTGAGTGGGCTCTGGAAACCACAAAATTTTCCCTGTGCCTCTGTGGGGAATCAGGGAAGCATGGAGAAGTTGTATCAACTCACATTCCATCATTATTCATGATATTGTATATAACGTTTTTACAACTTGTTTATTCATTCAAGGTAAAAGAAAGTAAAACCAACTTGAGCCAAACCCTAGTTTGTTTTGGGGGTCTGGCATCCACCATAAAGGTTTTGAAATACCACACTAATAAGTACATTTCTTTAAAAAAAAACTCTTTATTCGTTAAAACATTATTGGCACAGTACTTCTCATGTTCATTCTCATCAAATAATAAAATTTCCACTTTCTGTACTCAATTCTTAAGAACCTGAGAGATTAAAAATGTATTTAAATAAAGACTTAAAAGGAAGAGAATTAAAAACTTGGAAATTTATGGTAGATGAATTACTACACAAGAGAAAGTACTTTTCTTATTCATGGAAATGTTGATGGCACAATTCTACTGAAACTCATACATATTTACTGCTTAATTTACATACTATCTTGGTGGAAAAATAGTATTCTTTACTCTTTCAGTTTCCTTATGCTACAGTACATATAATTCTAGAGTGATATCACTTAGGTGTTATACAAACCTTGGTAGGGCCATGAACAGGTCAAATCTAGAGTCAAAGGTGCTTCAAAGACTCCAAGAAATGATTTTAAAACAAACTTAAAAAAACATGTATTGGGTCATGCCCATGGTCCATCCAAACTGTATCCTGACTCTATGGTAACAGAGGAAGGGCTATAGACCTTCATGATATCACTTCAAAATGGATCGGAAAACACCCTGCCACCCCACTCCCACCCAGATAATCCCAGCCTCCTTCCATAACCCAGATAAGCCAATCATCTGTGTATTGATTCAAATCTTTCTAGAACTTATTTATAGTTTATATGTGGATCATTACTTTATTAAATTTACTGCCTGTATTTAGAGTGGTGTTTTCTTTATTTATTCCTAATACCTTAGTCAAACAATTAAGGGAAGCATCTAGAAAAGCATTTTAGAGATCAAGAGCTTCCCTTAAAATATGAAGAAATGCCAAAACTGGGTTAGAAAATATAATTATACATTTAAATAGTTACATTAAACCATAATTTAATCCAAAATATACACCATAGTATGATCTAACTCTGCAACTTTCAGAAGATTTATTAAAAATGCAACAGTGCCTGGATTAAAGTGGTGTCATCTTTCTCCCCTGTGCCTCTGTGACTACAGATTTAACTTCACTTAGAGATGATCTCAAAAGTCTACTTTTGAGGCTCTTCACGAATGTGAGGCTCCAGCCAAGAGGCCTTCCTGGCTTCCTTGATAAACCCTGACATCTAATTTCTAATAATCTGAGATTTGGTGATAAAGTCTCTGTTTTCTTCATCTGTATGCTTCATAATTTAATTCAGATTTTACATGAATGGTAAAAATTAAGCTATCCATGCTGAGTTGAGGGAGCTGGAGAGTAAGAAGATGGAAGGATGCAAAAGAAAGAGTTTTTTGCCGATTGGCTGTGTTTCCTTGGAGGTAACCTGGTTGGGCTAATTCCAGGATTCTATGCAAGGTTTAAAAAAAACAACAAAGAAGCAAAGTCGTAGTTGCATAATGTCAGGCATTGTAGACAGTCTGTGTTGCAGCTAAACTATTACAGCTATATTTATCACTACATCTCTACATATCTCCATTACTCACAAAGTTTACTTTAAAATAGGCTACTGAACTGGCCTTCCCTCACCCCAGCATCATACGTCTGTCAGCTCGAGATGATAGCTGAGCACAGGTAGCTGTGCTGGCTGATTTCTTGAGGCTTCTTACTGGTTAAACTATCTGAGACTTTGACTTGAGCTTTGCCCACTTCATGTAGACACAGCCTGCATCTGATGTGCTGTTTCTATTGACCATTTAAATACTAATCAGTAGCCAATTCCTCAGGATGGGAAGATTCTTCTCCAGCCACTTAATATTTTTGGATATGGTTTCCAGAACAATTTGAAAAATTTCCAGATGTGATCCTTGAGCCTTAAGAGATTCAAAGAACAGTTTCACCTGAAAAATAAGCAAGAAAAGGATAACTGATGTGGTTCATGAAACACTTTCTCTTCCAAAGGGTTTCAAAACAGCTTACAAATTACACAAACACAGGCGCAAGCATTTCTTTGCCAATCTCTGAAAGGTTATCTTCTTCTTCTCTTTTTGGGGCATAATTATTATTTCACTTTACCTTCAAACAATAGATAAAATAAGACAGGAATGACAAATCTTACAAGTGAGCACACTGTGGGTAAAGAAGTTAAGAGATTGAGCCAAGGGCTTCCCTGGTGGCGCAGTGGTCGAGTCCGCCTGCCTATGCAGGGGACAAGGGTTCGTGCCCCGGTCTGGGAAGATCCCACATGCCGCGGAGCGGCTAGGCCCGTGAGCCATGGCCGCTGAGCCTGCGCGTCCGGAGCCTGTGCTCCGAAAAAAGAGATTGAGCCAAGTCATAGAGTAAGCAGTGATCTGAGATTTAAGTACTAGAATTCTGAATTTACTTGTAAAGTAAATAAATTTAAGATTTATTGTGGAAAGAAGATGTAAAACACTAGAATGCTTTTTTTTAAAAAAAGTAGAATTACCAAAAAGAGTAACTTTGTTAAAAAGACCTTTATGCACTCTTCCAACCTTCAATATAATCACTCAAGTGATGATACAATATGAATGAAATAATACAAAAGGACTCATCCTTCAGGTATAATTTCCATTTTGAATGCTATGAACATTAGTCCTACCCCTTCCATTTACTTGTTATGTGACATTGGACAAACAGCTTATTTTCTTTCTTTCTTTCTTTTTTTTTTTGCGGTACGCGAGCCTCTCACTGCTGCGGCCTCTCCCACTGTGGAGCACAGGCTCCGGACGCGCAGGCCCAGCGGCCGTGGCTCACGGGCCCAGCCGCTCCGCGGCACGTGGGATCTTCCCAGACCGGGGCACGAACCCGTGTCCCCTGCATCGGCAGGCGGACTCTCAACCACTGCGCCACCAGGGAAGCCCCAGCTTATTTTCTTTTAATAAAATAACAACTTCAAAGCAGATTGCATCTAAGTTTACTTTCAGTTCTACAGCTTGAACATTTATTTTTAAATTGTTAGCGAAAGAGAGTCACAAACCTCTTGCAACTCATCCTTGGAAGAAAAGTGAGATGTTGTGCCAGAGATGATCATTCTTATGGGAAATGAGCCCAACTCAAATCTGAAAATAAAAGCAACTTCATAGATTTAAGTAATAGAAATAATGACCTTATGTTTATAACATGCTATATATTTAAAATATATAACATTAATAACTATATGATAAATTTGTGCCTTGCAATGGATACTATTAATTACCACAAGAATAACACATATTCATCCAGTAAAATCTGAAAGCTATGAAATTTATCAAATTTGACCATAAGATTAAAATGTAAATAAAGCTTTTTTTAGGAAATATGACCAATGTTTATGTTTAAGTTTATATTTAAAGCAGCATTCTCTACATTTTTGATTATATACCCATCAATAAATATTTTTTGACCAAGAATTTCCCAATATACATATTTTTATTTATGAATTATATGCATGTACTATGTTAAAGGTAAAAAAGAAAATTTAAGAGCATAAGATAACAAATAATACATGTAGTATTATTATCTTCTTGCACTGTAAGGCATTGTCTTACATACTTCCCCATCTCATTTTGGACACCACTGTGTTAATACATTATGTTTATTGGGGCATTGTTCGTTGAACTCTCATTCGAAGCCACAGATGGCATCCTTCACCCCAGTGTCTTATATAGAGAATTTGTCCCACAGGTCAAAGGGATTCATGCCGTAAAGCAGAGCATAGATACATCTCAGAAATGGTCCCAAGTCTGGACTGTGCACCATGGTTGGGCAGGAGGGTAATTTCCAGTTACGAAATAAATCTACAGCATTGCAGAAAAGTCTGACCATTTCAGAAGGGGACAGACAGTCATGCAGACAACCAAACCAATGATGCCAGTAAGGTCTTTAACGAAAGACAATTTTAAAAACGCAGCTTTTTAACTATTCAGTCTCATGTGGACGTCAACCCCTTGAAGGTCCGGGAGTGGGGTAGAAATGTGCTTTTTACTGACAAAAAGCTATCTGTGAGGACTCTGAGTCCTTTATGGCTAAGAAATGAGAGGGAAGAGGAACTGAGGATGACTGACATCAGAGATGCTAACTGATACAAAGATAAACAGAGCAAATTGCACAGCTCTTTCATTCAGGGTATTTTCCATATAGTTAATAAGTGACATTTTGGACTTGGATGAGGAATGGCTGAGCACTTAGCAGGAGGTTTGTTGTGAGAGAAAGCAATGCCATCCTGTACATTCCAATGGAATCTAATCATTGTTGGTTTTTCTGGGACAATTTTAGGTTCAGGAGCATACTGAGTGAGCTCTAGTTTTCCCCAAAGGTGAAACCCCAGAAAAGACTCATAACCTATCCAGTTTTGGAGGGGGGGCTCCCAAAACATTTCTGATTGAATTTCTTTTAGCTACTCCAAGCTCTCCACTGTGCCACCTCCCCAGGGGAACTGGAAATAGGGATTAGTTCTCTTCAGAATTCCTGAAGTTTTTTTCCCCCCAGTGTTTGATGTACTATATATGGCTTCAATGTATTCTTCAGGGTTGGGGAGAGAGCCAGAAGGGAATGGGGGGATGGGGCTGATGACTGGATTTAACTGAGCTCTTACTTGTTCCCAGCAATTCTTCATTGCCTGGGCTGAGTAAGAGAAATCTGTTTCCCATTCCCTTTATTTCATTCCTCTCACTTATACCTGGACAGGGCACTTTGGGCTACTGAGTTTTAAAATTGACAGACTTCATCAAACTATTTGAGTAAAAATGGTGTCATTGGGATCATTTGGTTATACATGGTTTTAGGCAACTGAGATATCTGGGTGGAAGAACACACACTGGATGTAAACAAATACCAACTTTTTAAGGAGATGGATCCAGTTTTCTTTGACAAAATTCCAGGCTAATTGCTGCCCCTTTGGATTTCTGGCAATTGCATGAAGAAGAGGTGCCAAGTCCTGTGTCTTGATAACCTTTCCTTCCATTCCTAGTTCAATTAACCTGAAGAAATAAAAATCACTTCATTTTTCATGGTTTGTGTTTTATAATGGAAATTAACTCAGGCTATCAGTATATTAGAAGAATCAGAGAGAAAGAGGCCCAACAAAAGTGTGATGTACCAAAAACAGTAATAAAGTCGCTACTGGCTAACATTTTTACTATTCCAATTAAATTTCTACTTTTTTCTAGAAGTAATTTTATTCGCTTATTATTTCAAAGAACTTTGATTAGCATCTTATATACATCTTATATTAGCATCTTAAAATACAAGATGATTAGCATCTTGTATTTTGTACAATAATTTTCTGCCAAGGTTCTGAAAGTAAAACATAGCTATTTGTTTAGTATCAATCACATGTTAATAACTAAGGAATATCTGTTTTGCATTTTGTCGATATATATTTTTGGAAGTAAAGTCAAAGCGGTTCAAATTCTGATTCAGTTATTATTATATGCCTTTGAAATTGGTGGCTGAAATTTTAGTATCTTCCCTGAATATGTGTAAGTTTACTTTTAGCAATTTAGTTAAATTCACTTACTTCATTAACTTTTCCTGATGCTTGCTGGTTGACAATGCATACAGAATTTTGTTTTTTTCAGCACCTGACAATGACAGTTTGTATTGCTCTAAAAGGTAATTCCATCCTGCTGTTGTTTGAGCACCCACGGAGTACACAATCTTTAAAACATCTGTTGGGATACTGTAATATTAAGCACAAATGTGAAAAAAACTTCTATGACAGAAAAAATTCTTTTTTTCTTATTATGATTTTAAATTGCTATAACAGAATCACCCCTGAGTTATTTCCAGTACCTAGCATGTTAAACCTTTTTTTCTGGCAAATTTTTATAAAAATATTTTACGTAATTCTACTTTGCAAATTATTTGTGGTTTTTTTCCTCCTGATGATAAAATGTTAACAAGGATAATAATCATAAAAATGTAAACTACCTGGAGATGGAAACAGAAAGTTGATGGAATGAATAAATAAAAAAGGTGATTTCTGAAATATAAGTGCACTCGTTTATATAGAGTTCTATCATTAAATAGCATATATTGGTGCTATATGATTTTTTTAAAAAGATTATTACGTGTTGCTTTAATGTCACATTAGGAGTATTTTCTAGCCTGTCTGAGGGTTATCTGACTCTCTAGGTGTAGAGAATTATATTTTAGCACAGCTGTTTAGAGTTCAGTCATTTTATAATTCTGTAAAACTGATAAGATGCAATATTATTAGTTTCTGTCCATCTAAAGAAGACACCATGGTTTTGGGGTTTTATTGTCCTATAGGATACTAACTAGTTTTGATTTTAATTTGGTTATGATTTTTAATCCCAAATATCATTAGATCAATAATAAATGATATTCATATTGATGGCTTGGAATAACCAAAACACAGAGAAGTAGGGATGGGACAGGAAATTTGTATTTATCATGCAGGGACCATAAGATTGTACTAGTCTCTATACAACTTATTTAACTGTCAAAGCTACCCAGTGAGATAGAAAAATTATGCTAATTTTTAAAAAGTGGAAATAAAGCTTGGACAGGTTAAGTAACTTGCACCAAGGTGACATACTAGCCTTTCTGGAGATGGGGTTTAGACCTATGGTTCTAATCCTGTGCTATTTCCACTGTACTATATGTATTTAAATATCCCAAGAGACTTTGAATCATAAAACAAAAAGTAATTAAATTACATTCCACGTTATTTTGTTTTAGTGTGTTTTACTGTACAAATTTATAAAAATTGGTAACAAATAAAAAATAAGTTCCTTGAAGGTAGAACACATAGTTGTTTTGTTCACTAGTTTATTCTTAGCACCAAATGCAGTGCCTGGCACATAGGCAACAGGCAAAGCATTATATTTTGAATTCATGAATGAAGTAATCAATTAATCAATAAAAGGAAATTCCCCTTTAGGATTAATACTAGTGCTTTTGAAGTTTAGAAAAAAGAAACCTACAATATATGATTATGTGTTCTTGATTACAAGCTTAAATGAGATTTACCCAGAATTTTTTCATAGGCATAGCATCCTATTCAACAAGTTGAACCATGATATCTACTGGACTTGAGTTACTGTAGGTAAGATCATCCCTCTTATAACTAGCATAATGACAGAATAATATTCTGTTGTGTTATAGGGCAACAGATGTCTATATTTTAGCCTCACTCATACAGTTCATTTAAACATGAACAAAAAGAAGAGAAAAATATAGCTAAAAGAAATTTTTGTTCCGAAACTGATTTTAAGCCTAAATCCCGAAGAGTGAAAAAGTCCAAAAAGAAGAAAACGAATTATTTTTTTTAAAGAAGAATTCAAGAAAAGATTTCAAAAAGCTCACTGAGATTTAGTTATGTGGAGATAAATTATAATAGCATTTCATAACAATTTGGCAGAGGGAAAATTGACACCATTGCTTTACGTGGTACTACAGTTGTGAATTATTTTTCCTATTTTAAAAAGGAATTTTCCTTAATTCATATACAGATTTGATTTCTCAAAACATCCACTTGGAGAGTCAGAGTTTTAATAGCAACAATATAAAATCATGTGTTGTACAGAAATCAAGGCTTACATTGAAAAGATCGTGGCGTCTTTCAGTACCTATGGGTTGCAGCTGGTAAACTAAACTGCAACATAATCCTTTTGATCACAGGGCATCTACTTGATTACAACCACTACTGGAATCAATTTTGCCACCATACACATCCTTTAGATGGCCCAAATCATCAGTTTCCTATCAAAGTTGAAACTTGGGGCTAAGGCTCAGGTGTGGTATTGGTTAATGAAGAAGTAAACATGTTTTAAAAAGGCATGCCCCCCCCTTTTTTTTTTTTAGTTTCATCAACTGATCACTGGTGTCTGGATTGCATGAACATTTCACATTGCTTTTTACCTTTAAAAGGCATTACTCTTGGAGATTGGGCAGGTGCCCTGCTGGCCTCCACCCTCTGGCCATCTTTCTGGTACCATGCTAATGTGTATTAGCTCTCCCCTACAGGGACTTAAACCTCACTTCCCACAAAATCTATCCAGCACTTGCTATGTGGGAGCATGAAACAAGGGTCTGTAATTCCCAGCATGTTTTTTTCTTCTATCCTCACTAAAAGATTTTAGATCTAATGTCTTGCATGATCAAAGACTTTTACATCAAAGTGAAAGGAGCAAAGAATAGGACAGAAGTCCAGATCTACTTTAATTTTCCACTGGATTCCATCCACTGAGAGAAGAGTTCAGTTGCCTTCTGGATGCAAGGAGCATGGTTCAGGTAACAGGCCAGCTTCAAGAGAGCCGCACGAAGCCTTCTGTCCCAGACCGAGCCCTCGTCACACCAGCTTTGCATGTCAATCACTGGCTTAAAATACTGGAGAAGGTAATGCTGCAGAAAGCATAGGATGGTTACAGAAAGGCTAAGTTTAGTTCTTAACCCAGCTCTCACTCATCCATCCAAAGGGTTCAACTCTAAACTGTCTGCATGAACCTTTCCCAAAGCATAGAACTACTTATCTCTATATTTTGCTTCTCTTTTTCTGGCCTCCACCTACCAGAGTTAGTTTCTCCATTAGAAGTACAATTTAAGCTTGGTGCTTTGTGACCACCTAGAGGGGTGGGATAGGGAGGATGGGAGGGAGGGAGACGCAAGAGGGAAGAGATACGGGGATATATGTATATGTATAGCTGATTCACTTTGTTATAAAGCAGAAACTAACGCACCATTGTAAAGCAATTATACTCCAATAAATAGGTTAAAAAAAAGAAGAAGTACAGTTTAATTTCCTATCTGAGGGGGGAATACCAAGTGATATAAGATAAAATCACCTTAGGAGGGATGTTTTGCTTATGATCCTGGCACCTAGCTCTTAGGATGGTGATGACAAGGAACGAGGGACATCTAACTATTAGGTGCTTAAGTCTCACTGATCCTCCAGGCACTGTGTATTTTACTTAATGAATTTTCTGAAAGAAACACAAACCTTGAGATTTTCAGTGACATCTGAAACATTCCTTCTTTCCGTGATGTGGTAAAACAATTCTAGGTATTCCAGGCCTTTGAGAAGTGCAGGGATGCTTGTTTCATGTTGGAGATAGCGAGTCAGGTCAAGGGCTTTGTCTAGAGTCAACCTTCCTGCACTGAGGTATAAAACAAATGTCAGTGGTTTGTGCATATCTTACAGTTCTTAATATTTAAAATATTAAAACAAATATGATATAGAGAGCAATAACAGAAGCAGATCATTATATTCAGACCATTTGGTTTAAATCCTAGTTCTGCCACTGACTTGGGCAAATTAACCTCTCTGGGCTTCAGCTGCCTCCCCAATACAATGGGGATAATAAGAGTATCTACTTTAGTCCTCTGTTGTAAGGATTAAATGAGTTAATATAGGTAAAGTGCTTAGACTAATGTCTAACATAAATAAGTGCTTTGTAAATAAAAATGAAATAAATATCAGCTAATATTAATGTTTAGTACCAAATAATATCAAATTTTCATATATTTGTCATTCTCTAATTGCCTAATTTGTGGGTCTGAATTGTTCCTCCAAGCACATTTGGAACTTTGAGGACAGGTGCCATGTCTTTTGTTTCTTTGATGTACCCCCTAGAGCCTAACAGAGAAGCAGCACTTATTCTGAGTGGGTCCAAACAAGGACTTTCAATTTTAAAGAATCTATTTAGATTCTAAAGTGATATGCCTTCTCTACATTTTCCTTTAATGAGAAGAACAAACAACAAAACTATTATTCTGAATATCAAAACATTAGGATCTCTTCTGTAGAGGAAATAAACCATTATACTGTCACTTTTGTATACTTTGTCACTTTTTGTTTTCACATGTGTTTCTGAGAAGACCTGTGTCCCTGAAGCATCTATAAACCATTCTTGCCAGCATCCAACTCCCAGATTAAGCATAATAGTTTTATATGGAAACAGATTCCAGAACAAAGATATCTGTTTTGAATTTTTCATTAATATAATGCCCTACCTCCTATGGGTTTTTTAAATTTTAAATTCTCATCTAAAATGAGGGAACTAAAACTAGAAAGAAGTGACATTAAATGTGAGCAACTTTTGTTGTGACTATACTCTTCTCAGCCACAATGACATACTGCTTTAAAACAGACTTAATAGTAAAATTTCCAAACATTTCATCTGAAGACAGAGGGCTGGACCATATGCTCTATGATTTTATGGTCTGCTATATTTTTTAAAAAACAAATCCACAAAATGTCACTATTCCTGCCCACATGTGTAAGTGTCATAATACATGGTGCAGTAGATAAGTATAAATATAGTCACAACCTTTAAAATTTTAAATCTAGTGTACAATCCATTCATTACTTTGCTCACATTGGGGAAATCAATATGAAACTGGTAGAGAAATTAAGGAAGAATTGGCTGCTTATGTTTATTCTTCTTTAGACTTTCCTGGAAAGACAAAGTGTTTTCTTTCCTTTTTCCCATTTATCATCAACAGAATAATACGTAGAATAAATCAGGTCACAAGGTCTCCAACAGAAAAAATATTAAGGATCAGGTAGAGTATTATGCATTGTAAGCTTTTCCTATTCTAAGAATTTCTGTAATGTACTCGCTTTATTCAGTGTGACATATTATTTCCTTTCAGATGCTATAAAGTATACGAAGAGGATCAGTAACAGGAAGAAACTAGGTATTATGTTCTAGGGTTAAAATTTTTAAAAGAATGTTTAACACATAAAACTCACTTTATATTAACCTTGTTTTTCTTTTTAGCCCAGTCTAATTTATTTTTTACTTAGACAAATGCCATTATTTACTCTTATATAGAAAAAGTCTATCTACTTATTTATATAAAGTTTCGGCTAAATAGTACCTTTGTGAAATAAACTGTATTCCTGAGGAAACAATTTGGGGCTTCTTTTTATGGTGTTGGACTTAAAGAAATAAATAGTTTACCTGTAAGGAAATTATGGTTGTCATTTTAATTCCACCCAACTCAGAGGAGATCCAAGTCTTAAATTATATTTAACAATAAGTATGAAAACCCAATTGAAATGAATATGCATTCCTGGGTCAAATTCTGTCTCTGAACTAAATGTGATCACAGATTACATCCTTTAACTCTTAAATAGATATTTCACAAAGCAGGGAAGGAAGAGATATATATCACCAAAGCAGAGTAGCAAGTAAAAATATTTAGACCTATTATGAGATGTTAAAATTGTTTTCTTATATAATTACTTTTATTATAAAAGTAATATAAACAAACTACAAAACAATTGGAAATTAAGGGGAAAAAACTCATAATTTCATTACCTTACATATTTACTAATAGCACTTTGGAATATTTCTTTCTGTTTTTGTTTCTCTCACCTTTAGCTGTTTTTTTTTTTTTCATGTAACTGCAAACATAATAATACCTAAGCTTACATTCTGCTTTTTTTCCAATTTCACATTATTTGAAATGCATTTTTCTATGTTTTCACTTCACCTTCCCATTCAACGCATGATCTTTTAAACAATTTATATTAGATAATACTAATAATGCTAACAGCTACCATTTATTGAGCATTTATTACTGTACTCAGTGCTTTATCTACATTATCTTAAGCAATCCTCAAAACAACCCTGCATGATAGACATTATTATTATTGGAGTTTTAAAGACTAGAAAAGTTTTAAAGACTAGAAAATTTAGGCTTAGAAAGGTTAAATACCTTGTCAAAGGTCAAACAATAAGTGAAGAGGTAGTACTTAGTTGATATGTTTTAAACCAAAATTTGTACTTGGAAGTTCATTAACCAGTCTACCTAGTAAAGAAATGATTGCTTTTCCACTGATGCATCAGTAACTATAGGGTTCCTTCTGCTAAATTTACACTACACATAAATTTATAGGCTAGAAACAGCAAAAAAGACTTTGCAACTACTTGAAAGATTGGCTTTCATTTGCTGAGTTGTCAATATTCTTCTTTCTGCCTGGTCTTAAATTTGTAATCTACCTTCTTTGCAATCTGCTCAGAGTTTCTCCTTTAAGCTGACAAACCTCCCTCAACTGATGATAATCCACTTCTCAGCTAGTCTATCATGCATCCACTCAGATGTAGGATAGCTATGCTACCATGATGCTCCTGAGACCTACGGGACTGAGGATTAATCTCTCAATCCTCTCACTTTTCTAACTAGGGAATTCTATTGTACAGAGAAGCTGTGTCTGATGTCTTGCTAGTTACGTTTACTTAATTTGACCTCAATAAGGATCGGAAAGGAAATAATACGTCACACTGAATAAAGTGAGTACATTACAGTAATTCTCAGAATAGGAAAAGCTTACATAATGCAAAATACGCCACCTGATCCCCAATTATTTTTCCATTGGTGACCTTGTGATTTATTCTACATATTATTCTGTTGATGATAAATGGGAAAAAGGAAAGAAAACACTTTGTCTTTCCAGGAAAGTAAAAAGAGGAATAAACATAAGCAGCCAATTCCTCCTGCATTTTTCTACCAATTTCATATTGATTTCCCCAATGTGAGCAAAGTAATGAATGGATTGTACACTAGATTTAAAAATTATAAAGGTTATAACCATATTTATACTTTTTGTCCAACAGATTACACTGGTATTTGGTGAAACAGCAAGCTACCAGCATAAACAAATTTAAAATCTGAGGTCAAAAGCTTAAATGCCTGGAGGGTCCACCATAAGTGAGTGAAGCAGGCCCCTCATGTGTACCATTTAGGACTTTGGTACATAGGAGAATGTAGGCCTGGCCCAAAGGAAGATCTGCCCACTCTACCCTCCTCTGTGGTTGCCCTGTGGGAATGAGGCCCACAGTTCGCAAATTTTCTCATTATTTAAGAGATTCCAGAAGTCAGGATTTCTACATAAACTTCTCCATATTTTAAAATGTTGGATTAAATTTTTAAATGCTGGGTGGGTCAAAATACTTTATCAGTGGGTAGGCTGTGGCCTAATGGCCTGTATTTGACCTCCATTCATATCCATATCATGTGAGTGATTAACACTGAACGTTTGATTTGAAATCTAATGTATCTGGTGATAAAGCAGTTACTTCCTATGAAATCAGATGAATTTTTGCATTACCTTACTAGCTGAAAGGCATCATGAATCAGACTTATTCTGTCCTTAGGTCTGAGAAATGTGTGGTTCTGATTCAGCTGTGTAATGAGTTGGTCCCATCCACGCCCCTCATAGTGGACAATGTAGTAGCCATTTGAGTCCACATTGAATTTTACCCAACTGGTCTTCTCAGGTAAATCCAGAGTATCTAGGAGGAGAAAATTGGTACAGGTATTTCCTTATCGACGTGCACGCCAGGAACATCTCCAGAAGTGTTAGTCTCCATGCTATTACTAACAAATCAAGGAGAAGACAAAGTTTTGGAAGACTCACAATGATCCTATTTTCATAGTCTGCTGGATGGCTTATTTTGGGGATGATGACCTTATTAAATTAATAAATAAACTAATTCCTAGGAAAAGGACGGATGAATTTGTTCTCAAAAGCAGTCTATGCAGGTTTAAGAGGCATGCGAGGGCCCAGTGAGCCAGATGATGAACATGACTGGAATGTGGCTTGATGTACTGGTGGCCTCATCTCAAGGTTTAGTTACGACTCATTGAAATATGTATATGTAAATAGGTGATCCATTTGTCCAGTCCTTATTTTGGGCAAAATAAGGACTGTAGGCTGAACACGACATTCTGATGGGAACATTCTCAAATTTCAGTGATGTGTTCAAAGGGGAAATTAAAATTGTATTATTTTTAATATGACAGACATTATACTAGGTGGTAAAATAACATTATCATATTCTCTCCAAAGCTCTGTGAGGCTTAATCCCCATTCAAAATAAGATGAGAAAACTGAAACTCAGAAGAAGTTAAAAAAATTTCTTAAGGGCACACATCTAATATGCGACAGAATGAGGATTTGAATTCAGAGCCAATCAATTCCAGAGTGTATGCCTTTATCCACTGAACTAGTATGTATTAAAAGACATAAGATAGGATGCCATCATTTCTTAATATAAATATAAACCTATCTCTAAGTGCTAGAAGCACAAGAGAACTTTCCACTGAATAAAAAATTCAGACTTTCTAGCTAAAGGGTTCTTTTAGTAACACATATATGGATAAATGAGAACTTCCTCAAACATATATCATTCATTATCAGATTGACTTACATTATCTTTCCTCCAAATATCTCAGAACATGTTTAATTTCAGAATTAAAACAGCTATTAGCTCGTTAGTTCATTACCTGTCTTTGATTTCAGAATGTGTCTGTGAATTGCATTAGAGGAACTTGTGGAATAGGTCACTGGGATATGCCAAAGGTACCTATGTTAGAAAGTAAAGACTGTTACAGACTAAATTAATGGCCATTTCAATTTTCACATCATCAGACTCGGATAGGCTGTAAAAGACACCTAATCACTCATCCTTCACACCAACATAAATTTTATAGGCTAAGACTAGCAGATCCTTGGGTGTGCAAAAGTTCTTCCATAATGATTATGAAGGAGCAGCAATGTATACCTAGCTGAACTCTGTCACAATTACCTGTGCCATTTGCTGTCCAAATATCATACCACAACAAGTTCTGCTGATTGTTTTCTTCTAAGTAAGAGAAAAAAAAAAAATCTTCCTTTCATATTTCCAAAAATTATGACAGCCTGATATTAATTCAAATAACTGAACCAAAGCTGTAGGAAAAGCCCTCCAAGGTAACAATCTTACTCCAGTATGATTTTCCACTTACCCTTTTGTTCAGCAAAGCTACCCACATTCAACCCCCCAACTGCTAAGTGCCTGCAGCAGTGTGTCAGGATCTGCATGTCAGCCAAGTCCAGAGAGCAGAGAAGCAGAATGGATTGGAGGAAAAGGCCTCAGTTACTTTTCAATGGCCCTACTACGGTAAATAACTGAAATTGGCTATTTTTTTCTGAATAACTTTCTAGCAGCTTCTAGAACTCATTTCATCTATCACAGCAATATTAGCTATAGTAATCCTGTAAAATCACATGCTTGAAAATACCAATAGGTATAAAACAGAAAGAATAAAATAAATCAATAAATAATTTAAAAAAATATGTAAAAAAAGAAAACAAAAACAGAAAGAATAGTAACTGAGGATGTGCCCACAAAAATATAAAATAGTGAAAGAAACAGCAGACACAGACTCGATCTAATAAAGGGTCAGAAGGGATAATCTACCTGCTAATCCAGAGAGTACAGATAATTAACAAAGCAACTGAAATATTTATACAAATTGGTAAAAATAGACACCTAGATATCACCAAGACTTAATGGATCGAGATTCCTGGACGGATCTTGACTCTAGAAAGAGATTTTTCCAGATAAACATATCTGGGAGTAAAGAGAGGAAGAGTAGCATTTCATGAGTTTGGATAAGCATTGATCAGAGGATAATAATTTTATAATAGTAATCTAAATACTGCTTCAGGTAGAGGAAAAATACAGATCACTGCAGTAGATATTTGTTATTCTGGGCCAACCACACTATTGAACTCTCTCTGGTCACATTTTGATAAGTTACACAATTATGAGTCCTGCTTTCGCAATAGTAAATCAAACATTAAATTTTCCAGCCTGTGTTGCCAAGCTTCAAGTTGTTTAAGCTCTCTGAAGTTCAGACTTCAGAAGGACATACACAGAAATGGAAGATAAATGGCATAAGAGTTGCTGTTGGATCGAAATAGACATCTGATGAAACAAAAAGGGAAAACAGTATATCCTATGTGTTAAAGGCTGTGAATTTGCTTCTGATTCTCAGAAAAATTCTAGAACTGTTATTAGACAGCTAGATCCTTGGGAAAAAAATAATCAAAAGAGCCAGCACGGATTCACTTGGATTAATTTCATTTCAATTTAACCTCATTCATCTTATTGACAGGGCTAATAGATCAGAGGAAGGTGGACAGTGTTGTATATCTTGATTTTAGTAAAGCCTTTAACAAGTTTTCTCAGGACAGATGACAGTGTGGGTAATTGGATTTGCTTTTATTATTACCAAGAACATCATGTTTTAAGGGATTACATTTATAGTCTCTTACTGAAAAACGAAAGAGAGTGGAAGGTCTTAGCATCTAATTTATCAAATAGGGAATGTCTTTTCTGATAAGGTGTACAGCTGTCATAACATTTCCTAGGTATGGGCCAGTCACACAATTTATTAGGTATATTATATTAGAAATATTACCAACAACCTTCTGCATCAGAACTGAGGTTCTAAAGGTGGCCCCAGGATTACTAAGAATATGCCCCTCAACAACGCAGTCTGGGCTGATATCAAGGCTAGTTTAGGGCTTCGAGTCCTGTGTAGAAATAGCACCCCATAAAGTTGCCAGAGAAGCTGAAAGAAAGCTAATGCGATCACGAACAAACTGAGATGAGGTAAACTAGATCGACAGAAGGAAAGCAGTCACCTTTCCTGCAGGGCCCCCCATTCAGGATCCTCTTTGAACACCCCGTTCAGGAAGCGCTCCTGCTGTAGTCTGAGTGAACGCCCTTCTTGGTTAACCACCACGAGGGGGATTCCTTTCTGCAGAGTCCATGTAGCCATCATCTGCTTCACTTTCACATTTTCCCGCAGAAAGGTGAGCTGAAATGACAAGTGACTTTGGTAACTCAAGACAGAGGAGAGAAGCCAGAGAGAGATGAGAAACTTCAACCTCCTTGGACGCTGGAAACATGGGCGGGACAGGAAGCGGGGACTCTGGCTACAATCTCCTAGGGGAGCGATGTGGAAACTAGAATGCTGCCCCTCCCCACCCTGCCCAGGGCTGCTCTGCAAATTACCTGAAGCAGGGACGTGTGTGGGAGCTTGAGGGTTAACACAGGGCAGGAAGGGTCAAGAGGAAGGGTTTGAGACTGAAGTCTCCCTTTCAAAACAGAAAAAAAAAAAAAACCCACCATAAAACCAAAAACCAAAAAACTACTCTCCGTTTTATTAACGACAGAATCCAGAGAAGTGGCTTAAGAAGAAATGTCTCTCTTTAGGGAAGCTTTTTAAAAATTCCAATAGAACAATATTATATCAATAGAGGTATATGGAATGGAGAACAAAACCTCTAGCTTTTTAGCTTCTAGTATGTATTGCTGATCACTGAGTGATGCCGAATCTCCCTTTGAAAACTATAATTGATGGGATTACCATAATGCTTTTTAAAAAGTTTGCCTTTTCTTTTTTCCATGATGACTTCCCAGAAGTAAACAAAAAGACAGGGCCTCAAGAAAGCCATTCACTCTATTTCCAAACTTAACAGATTTGGTTTGGCATTTTTCAGAGCCTAGAGGATGCCAGTGCAGCAGTAACCACTCAGAAGAATTTTGAGCTGAGATATTTTTAGCTAGCAGCGGGGTTGTGGGAAAGCTGAATTATAACAACAAAAATATAGTAGTAACAGCGTCACCCCCCTACATGGCCTGAGCATTCTTTCTTCAGGCAGCTTTGTTTCAAGGAAAACTGTGGAGTCTCTATTTCTCTCCAGTTATTTAAAGGGACAGTTGGGCGACTTTACACACTCACTTTGGGCCAGGTGATGAGCCAAATCTCTTCTACTCTACAAGTCTCTTTCTACTTACTGTGTTGCTTGCTGTCTTGGAATCGGAATAACAAAATCCACCAGATGTAGAATCACTTTCTAAACAATCCTGTAACACAAGAGGAAAAGAGCACCGCCATTTTGGGCACTGATAGTTGGCTGAATATGCATATTAGACATGAAGGCAGACATTTATTAGCATAGATATATGAAAATTTAGTTCATCTAAACATGGTAATAAGCATAGCAATTCATTAAAGAATACATAAAATTTACTCTTTTTGTTTTATATGTATAATTGATGTTATGTGACACGATGCTGAGTTAGGTATTCTCAGGAATTTATCATTTTCCTACCACAGTCTCTTTTTTTTTTTCGGCTGTGTTGGGTCTTTTTTGCCGTGCACAGGCTTTCTCTAGTTGCAGCGAGCGGGGGCTACTCTGGGCTTCAGTAGTTGTGGCTCGTGGGCTCTAGAGCGCAGGCTCAGTAGTTGTGGCGCATGGGCTTAGTTGCTCCGTGGCACGTGGGATCTTCCCAGACCAGGGCTGTAACCCGTGTCCCCTGCACTGGCAGGCGGATTCTTAACCACTGAGCCACCAGATAAGTCCCCCACAATTTCATTTGGCATCAGAAGGGGGTCACCTAGAATTTAGGACCTTTAGGGGAAGTTTGGATGGGAGACTTCCCTGATAACCAGGAAGAAGCTGTGATGTAATTGAAAGAATGAATACTGGACTTAGAGTCAGAAGACAGATTTTAAGTAATGACTCCATCATTCACTTGGTATATGGTCTTGAGCAAATCTCTCCCTTAGCATTAGTTTTCCCACCTGTAAAAATGGGGTAAGAATGCCTACCTTACCTTCTTGAGATGGTTATAAGCATGAAGTGACAAAAATTAACATAAGGGTGCTCACAGTTAACCTAAAAGAATCCTGTAATTATTGCCCAAATATCTCCTTTAATCCCCTTTACACCCACTACCCACACCAAAGACAGATTCTTCCTTGCTGAAAAAAGCCTTGGTTGATGTCTACACACAGAGACACATACACAAGTACACATCATAGCAAAGGAGAGGGAGAAGGAGAGGGGAGAGAAAAGCAATGTAAGGCTTGTTGTTGACAACCTGAGGGAGAATTGTGGAGAAAGAACATCTGGATCAGCTGCAAGAGGTGATGAAAATGGATAAGGAGCATCTTTACAAGTATTACAAAGGATTGTGTAATTTGATCCCCTTTAGGGTTTTCAAGAAATGGGGGTAAAATGTTTGAGCTACTTTGAAAAAAATTTTTAATTATTGCATTTGTCTCTTTAACCACAAACTCACACATAAGTTAAACCTTGAGGGTCCAGATTTACTTAGGGCACAGAAAAATCAAATGAGATAATGCACATGAAGTTTCTTTTTAAACTGTGAAGTGCTATACAAATATTGAACAATATTATTACTGTCCCTGGGACATACGTGCTTATAAAGGAGAGAGGACCTCTTCAGAGTACAATGACTTAGGGTTCTTCTACCTGCAGGCACAAGCTCTGCCAGTTCATTACTTCTATAACAAAGTATTGTCCTTGCATTTGAAAATCTAAGAATATTTTAATAATTATTAGAATCATCTGAGTTGACTGCATGTTTTCTCTGTCTTACCTACTATACTACGTGAATCCCAATGACAAAGAGACCATATGTTCTTAATCGATCATTATCTGATTATAGGGTCAATAGAATGCTAAGGGCCTGACATGATTCTTTCTCTTAAGCAAATTTTGTTTATTATTATCATTGTTATTATTGAACCAATGGAAGCCAATAAAAGAGAATGTCACTGGCTGGAACAGATTCATAAGTGCACTTCTAGGCATTCAGCAGAAAGGCAAATCAATGAGGGCTGGAGCTGTCTGTAAGGAGGAGGTGAAATCTCAGCTAGATCTCAAAAGATGGACAGCACCTGAACTGTTGGAAAGAAGAGAGAGCACTTCGGGTAGCAAGAGCACTAGAAACAGAGGCATGACAGGGATTGAACAGGATTTCTTCCTATGAGGGAGGAGGTGTGTCTCACTCAACAGAGAATACAGGCTGGGAAATACATTTGAGCAAGGAGAGTTCAACCTTAAATTTGGGAAGAGAAGATCAGGTGTTACATGAAGGAGTTACAAAGTCATGAAAGATTTGGAAAAAAAGACAAAAGTGTAGGGTCAACCATAAAAGGGAAACCAAAGAGAAGGAGGTCAAATATTGAACCCTTAGGGCTTAACTAGTGTGGCATCTTGGTTTAGTAAGGTGTCAGAGGAAAAAAAGAGGTGCTGCCTGCTTACCCTTGGCAGTGTGGCAAGTGAAATAAACATTTGTTGCCTGACAATGTAACTATTTATAAACCTTCATAATTAGCTTGTCACTTTTTAGGCTGAACAGCAGTCTACTATAACTTAACAGAGGACTTACATCTGACAAACTGCTCCACAAATCATCATTCTTAGCATTTCTATAGCTGAACTTCTTTAAGTAGTGAATAATTCCTTTCTTGAATTTCTCCTCACTCAGAAAATCCTTGAGCATATTCAAAATACAAGCTCCCTAAAATACAAACAAAAGCAAAGAAAAAGAAGATAAAGGAAAAGGTAGTATATGTTTTTAAAGGAAACTTACATTTTACGGAACATGTGTAACGTCTGATAAATGAAGCAGCAAATAAAAACTGAAACAGGTAGCAATAACCTGGCACCAGCAACTTAAACTGTTGATGTACTGGCCTCATTATATTTCTCCCAAAAGCAGTGCTTCCACTAGTCCACAGCATTTACTACCTTTTTATAGGAAACTGCATCAAACATTTCCTTTATGTGAGTAGAGGTTTCTGCTTGATTGGAGAGAGGATGGGATGAATTTAATGAATCTCTTTTAATTACTTCAAAACACATGTCCAGAAAATCGTCATCCTAAACAGGAGAGAAATTTTTTTCAATTTCCATTTGACATTCTCAGCAATAGGAAACATGATAGGTTTTATAAGATATTCTCAGAAGTAGGTATTCAATATCTCTTACAAGATGTTTCTTTCCCCTTATATATTCCCCTTTCACCAATTCTCTATTTTGTAAAGGTATAAATTCGACATTCCCTCAGATACTGCCTGAATGTTTACCATGAGCCAATCCCTTCGATACAAAAATAAAACTAAGGTTCCCATTGAGTGAACACGTGCTGTGTGCCAGGATCTTACATCCATCATCTGCAATCCTTTCAACACCCTGCAAGGGAGATGCATTACATACATTTTACAAGTGAGAATGTATGAAGCTTTGGGATTAAACCACAGATGCAGCACATAGCAAATAAGAAGACACTGACTTTGAATCCATGTCTGTCTGTAATTGTACTGGACCAAATGTCTGCCTCAAAGAGCTAATTATCCATTACTAACTACCTTGATATGTGCTGTTCAGACCCTCTTGTGCCTATTAAAAAAGACATGTTTGAAGAAATCTTTTCACACACTTTGGGGAAATTAACTAACCCTTTGGAAATTCTGGAGGAGTGTGTCCCCAGTCATGCTCAATTCGGGTTACATGCCAAGAACTCTGTACGGGATCTATAGCCATGGGCATTGTCTTGTCCTATATCATTGTATTCGGACAGTGACACTTTCCTCTCACCCCACATACACAGCTGTATATTTGTGCTATTTTCACTCTCTATCCACAAACTTTAGGGTGAGGGATTTATGTTGACTGTTCTCTAAAACCTCCAGTGTCTCATCCAGTTCTATCATCTGTGTTATGTGCCTCCCACCTCATTCATATGCTGAAGCCCTAGTCCCCAGATTTGTAGATAGTGCCTTAAAAAAGAGGGGACTGAATTAAAATGAGGCCATTAGGGTGGGCCCTAATCCACTCTGACTGGTGTAAGAAGAGGAAATTTAAAAACTCAGACACCAGAGATGTGTGAGCACAGAGAAAAGACCATGTGAGGACACAGTGAGAAGACGGTCATCTGTAAGCCAAGGAGAGAGGCTTCAGAAGAAATCAAACCTGCCGACACCTTGATCTCAGAGTTCTAGCCTCCAGAACCGTGAGAAAATAAATTTCTGTTGTTTAAGCCACGCAGTCTGTGGAATTTTGTCATGGAAGCCCTAGAAAACTAATACAACCTGTTTATACAAAACAAAACACCATAGATTCAAAGACTCAATGCTATGTTCTCTTTGGCATTCTCTAAAAATTTTAGTAGTAAATTAATGATTCGTTAGGGCATACAGTATGACATACAAAATTGTGACTTACAAATTGTAGCTCTGGATATGTGACGTTAACAGAGATAAGTTCCATGTATGTTGCAAAACCCTCATTGAGCCAAATATCATTCCACCATTCCATTGTAACCAGGTTGCCAAACCACTAGGAGGAAAAAACTCCATGTTATTAGAAGGTAAACAAATATAAAAAATTATTAACTATAGCAAAAAATATAATGGGTGGTAACTTCTTTCTTTTAGTAGCTGAGGCCTCTTTATCTTTGCTACCCTTTTCTCTCCGCACAGCCTCCTTCTACTGATTTCCCTGCCTTCGCCTCTCTCCACATTTTTGCTTCCTTCAATTCTCTTTCTTTGTTTTTGTTCTTTTGTTTGTTTGTTTGTTTTGCAGTACGCGGGCCTCTCACTGTTGTGGCCTCTCCCGTTGTGGAGTCCAGGCTCCAGACGCGCAGGCTCAGAGGCCATGGCTCACAGGCCCAGCCGCTCCGCGGCATGTGGGATCTTCCCGGACCGGGGCACGAACCCACGTCCCCTGCATTGGCAGGCGGACTCTCAACCACTCCACCACCAGGGAAGCCCACTTCTCTTTCTCTGTGTTCATATTGTCTCCAACTTCCCAACTTCCATTATATCCTCACTATATTTCCTAGATATTAGATTTAATATTAAGGAAGAAAATGAAACATTTCGTAGGGTACATTTTGCACAATAAGTATAATCTCACCTTGTCATTGACTTATGGTGATGGTCTAAGGAGAAATATAAGCCAAAATATTTTGGGTGAAGTCACCTTTTTATATTAAGTAGCAGGTACTTAAAAGAATAAAAATTCATTTAGGACTTTCAGATTGTTACACAATATTAGTGATGACCAAATTTACTTGTCCTCTGCCCCAATTTACTTCTAGGGATTAACTTGGCCACTAAGGTGAATAAAAGTCTGAGATTTTAAATATATATAAATAAAATTAAAAGGACGCAAAAAGATAATCTAAATAGAAATTTACCCTTGACCTATATTTAATCTGTAACACGTTTTAAATATTATTTTTATGTATTATTATATTTTATCTATTTGGCCTTTGTCATATTAGTGTGTGTCCAGTTTATCTATTTTAGGATTGCAGTCTCCAGGACTGGAAGCTTAAACAATAAGATTCTAAGATTCAGAAGAGCCTTGTTACAGTTACAGAACACAAACCACTAGATCTGTAGCTTCTAGAAACAGTTCAAGCTCTATACCTTTTCTTACAGCCCTCCTATCATATTGCAAGTGGGCTCCAATCTTCTGAGGGGGTTCTGTGAGAAGGGACAGCGGGTGTTTCCTCAGTTTGAGAAGTGATGAACGCAAGAAGTACAAGCTGGTTATGGTCATTTCACCAGTCAGTAAAAGTAGTTTATTCATTCATTCAATAAATATCTATTTAGAATCTACTACGTTTCTGGCTCTATACCATATGTTAGAAATACAAAGATGTATGTAAGATAGCCACTGCCTCAATACAAATGGTGGAGGTCAACTGGTAGACATACGCATGCAATAAAGCATTATTGGCACTATGATCTATGTCTGTACAGGGACAGAGGAGATTCCAGAAGGAAAAAAATCAGTTTTGCTGGGAGAGTGTGTAGAATAACTGGGAAACGATTCATTTCCTTAGTCTTCCAAGTGGTCCTCAGGAATATTGGAAGTGGGGTGTGCTCTAAGCAGATCAGGTAGCAGGAGCAAAAGCACAGAGGAATGACACAACCTCGCCTGTTCAGGTAATGGCAGGTAGTCTGGGATGGCTAAAGCTAAAGGTGTCGTTCAGAGATGAGGCTGGAGAGGTGGAGGCGAGCCGGGTCCTCGGGGCCTTGTTTGCCACACTGTGGATCCTTTACTCACTCAGGCATTGAGAGTCTTTGCCAGGGTTTTACACAGAGGAGTGACATGGGGAGACATGGAGATTAATGGGGAAACAAAATAGTCAAGGCCGTTGGGGCCTGCTGCTTCAGCCCTGAACACTGCGTCCCCGTAAAAGAGAACTTATTACAGGAAGGCCTTAAGGGAGGATGGAGCCTCAAAAGTAGAGCTCTCTGATTATTTCCCTATGAACATTGGGTAGAAAATGAGGAATACCCAGACTCAGTTAAGTGCTTTAGAGCTTCCAGAGACTAATGATCAAACCCCTAAGATGGGCCAGAGGGGAGATGCTAAACCAGAGGAAGCTGTTCATATGTTCTCAAAATACAGTGCTGAGCATGGCTCCTATGTAACTGGGTTCTTAGTTTGCTGCTTTAAAAAAAACAAACAACCCCCCCCCTTATTATTATTATGGTCATGATAAAGGATAAAGTTAAACATTGAAAAATAAGAGATTTTACCAGTTTCTACAATGGAATGATATTTGCCTACATAGTAAAAGAGAGTTTCCAGTGCCTTTAATAATTCACCGCATAATGGGGAATTTTCAGAAATGAAATAGAGTGGAAAAAGTCTCTGATATCTGTAGAGCTAGTTTTACTGTTTCATATTTGTATGTAATACAGTGTTGATAGATGGGCCTTGGAAATCTTATTCTGTAAGAAATGGTAGCAGTGGTGGTCATTGTCACCATCATTAATAGCTAACACTTACTGAGTACCTACCACATGACAGACATAGACACTTATCTGTAATCCTCACAACAGTTTCAAGAAGCAGGAGCTATTGTGAACTTAATTTTATAGACGAGGACACTGAAGTTTAGAGAGTTAGGTAATGTGTCCAGGGTCAGCAGCCCATGAGTGCATAGACTTGAAAATACTTCATTATGGCTGAATAACCACAGATTCCAACTGAAAGGAGATTGATTTTGCCCTAGATTGGAATGCCACCGTATTAGAGGGTATAAGGGGAAATATTTTTAATAGAAATCTCTATTTGTAGCGTTTCTAATTCTGTGCTTTATGTATCTGCATGGTCTTCACTTTTCTTTACTAAAAGACACTTGGAGGCTTTGCCTTGAAGGGTTTTAGAGGATATAGTGGTCACTTCTCTTGTGATAAAATTCCTGTATGAGACCCATTGTCTAGAGATTGAATATTCTTCTACTTGACATATTATGTTTGGCTTGATAATCCCTAAGGTCCCCTCTGGAAGTAAAATGACATGATTTTATGTCGTTTCAGGAATATTGGTGGTGTTCTGCATAATGCTCTGTTGAACCGATGCTAAGAGAATGTCATGAGTGCCAGGTACCTGGTGCGCTAGCTCATGAGCTATGACTCTGGTGACCCACAGTTTGTCAGAAGTAGAAGAGGTCTTGGGATCAAAGAGCAGTGACGTCTCTCTATATGTGACAAGGCCCCAATTTTCCATGGCTCCACTTTCAAAGTCAGGAATGGCAACTAGATCTAAGAAATAAGAACAACCACACTTGATCATTATGGCTTCCACACCAGAAGTGGGATTTGCTTCCTCCTCAAATATGTTATGATCCATTCAGTATATATAAGCAGATTTTCTGAAAACATCAAGAGTGTCTTAACATTGATATGGTGTCTTGTAGTTGCTGAAAATAATCAGTATCTATTATCAAGCAGAATAAAGTCTATCAGTAAAGTTTTGGTTGTAGGTGAAGTAACCTATTGACATTTAACCACTTTTTTCTAAAACTAAACTATGAAAATACCTTGAGTGCATTACTGCTGAGAAAAAAATTCATTTTAAAACTCTCCTATTTTATTTTATATTAGTACTACAGAAAAACTTTGAAAATATGAGGTATCAAATAATTTCTAATATGTCTGGAATTCAACAAAACATATAATGAACTCATTTCTACAAAAAAGAAAAAATGGGGATTTTAATTTCAAGGGAACACCTTTCAGGAGCATCTCTATAGTCAATATTTCAATCAATATTTCTAGCGCATACAGACTCTAAGTGTCCTTCTAAGGCAGTAGAGGAAAAAGGCTGTTGGCATCACTTCTTTCTGAGCTCAATTTCCTTTTCAACATTGATATTTCCTCTACTTCTTGACAAAGTCTTAGGGAGAAAAAGTGAAATTTAATCATGTTTAAGCAACTCAGATATAACGTAATTTATATCATATCTGTGTGTGAGTGTATATATATATATATATATATACCCTCTGCCAATGACTTCATGTAGATTAGAAAACTTCTGGCTAATATTTAATCTTGGACTTCTTTCTGTTTATTCTGCCAGGCCATATTGGAAAAATTACTGCTTTTTGGCTGAAAAGAAAGGTAATTTTTTAAAAGTTTGAAATAAATCAAGTCACTTGCCTTGCAATTACAATGTCTGGAATTAGTATTGGTTAATTCTAGTGGATAAAATCAAATATTTATAATGCAATCAAAAAGCAAACTAGCACTAGTAAAGATTAGTATTCATTAGCACTTCAAATGTGGGAATGACTCCTTTTCTAAATTGCATTGATGATTTTATATTAGTTATATTATTTCCCAAAGCCATTAGAAATGCTTATATCTGCTCAATTTTTTCCTAAGTTGCATGTTTCCTTTCAGTTAGTTTTATTTTAAATACATTCACTTCATATGATCTTCAAGGTTGCATTTTTCAAGAGCAACTTAAGATTGTTGATAGCTGTTATTTGATCTTTCCTTGATTTTTGACAGAGAACAGCAGTGGACTGTGGGTAAACTGATTTAGTATATCCGTACTAAAAGGTGTGTATAGAACCTGCGCCATAATAATACAGTGAGACTCAGGAACTGTAGGGACAACCCCCTGGAGATGTCTTCTGATGGTCCCTTTTAACTGTCTAAAACTGTATGGAGGTTGGGCAGGAAAGGGGAGGAAGGACATGATAAGGTGTGTGTTCTAAAGTCCCAAAGAAAAACAATGTTTTGTCATTGTCAGAAACTCTAAAAATTAATCTATATAAGTTATAAATTTTAAGTCATGGTTTTTATATATTCTGTAACATAAAAATCACAATTTTTAATTTTTAAGATAGAAAATTAAAACCAACCAAGATAGCCTGTGTGTATTTCCTCATATAAAGATCTACAACTACTACATTCAAATTATCTTTTTCCTCGAAATCTTTTTTTTTTTTTTTTTTTTAAAGTCTGTGCCACAGTCTTATCTTCCAGCCTTAGACTCACGGTAGATAACAGATGGAGGGACAATTTTCAGCTATTTACATAAACCTTTGGCAACTTTTATATAAGATTGCTAGTCTTGTACAAATACGGTACAGAAGATAATATATGCTCCAGAAAATTCATCCATTTAAATCTAATACAAAATGCAGATATTTTAATATTAAACCTTATAAAAGAATAGAGAAATGAACCACAGAACTTGGGCTTCTCATAATACTTTATTTTCTACACTCTAGGACCATCTCTGAGGTACAAATTATTGCTTTCTGGGCTAACTGAACGTCTTCAGTACTCATTTAAATCACATACTAAGAGGGATGAAATCAAAATATGTTCTAAAAATAAAGACGATGATGTGGCATTTGAACCTACCCAGTTTTGCGAGTGGATAGTGGATATCAAAGTAATTTTCGTAAAAGTCCAGCAGCTTCAATGATGCTTCCAAAGCATAATGTGTTTGACTCCATTTGTCTGGGGCTGCATGGATGGACACCTGGGAAATGTTGGTGGGAAGAAGTGGTCTTTGAAGGACAGCTCCTTTGCACAACTCCATTCCTAACAGCCCTCACCCAAAGAAAGACAGACTGCATTTTTCAAGAAAATATTGAGATACCGTTAAACATGTTGTCAACAGGGGATAAGATGTTCTGTAAAGTATTAAAGCAAGAATCACTCTTGAAAATTATAAACAACCCTGTATTTTCTGTTACAGTACATTCCCTAGGTGCTAATCTGTACGTTTTAAGCTATGTAAACCTATCGCCTCATGAGAGCCCACTTCAGTTCATCACTATCATGTACTCTAGCACTTGAGAATAAACCTTCCAAAATTATGACCACCAACACAATTCAAATAAAACATAATTCTATGAGGTGGAAAGTCTTCATGAACTTATTCAAACCACCCTCTGTCGTGTTTTCTTTTCTTTTTTTTTTTTGATTATTGGGTTTTTTAAAAATTTAAATTAATTAATTTTTATACAGCAGGCTCTTATTAGTTATCTATTTTATGCATATTAGTGTATATATGTCAATCCCAATCTCCCAATTCATCCCACCATGTCGTGTTTTCTTTAAACTCAAAAATGCCCAAATATGTTCATTGAATCCCTGCAAACTATTAGCTATTAAGTGGAAGAAATAAAGTTAGATTCCAGTCTTCTTGGGTTTCAAGTACAGTGTTGCTCTCAGTTCATAATCTGCTTTCATGCTCTGAGTTAACTGAAGTTCCTCAGAAATTTTATAAGAAGGATATATTAGTGACCACAGTGGCGTACCAGGCACTGTGCTAAATGCACACATGCAAAATCTAACTTAATCCTCTCAATCACCTCATGAAATAGGTGCTATTGTCTTCATTTTACAGATGAAGCAATGGAAACACATGGAGATTAAGTAACTTACTTCAAGCCCCCCATGTAGAAAACTGTAGAGCTGGGACGTGAATCCAAGGAAGCTGACAGGACCCTGTCCTCTGAAGTAAAGTTCCATCTGACCTCTCACACATCTATATCTCTGCACATATATATATGTGCAGAGATGTATGTAGACACATTGCTGATAACATGTATCTACATATCCAAAGGTATAATATGTATGGAAATTGTAATAGCCATTTTATTGCTATTTTTCATAAGCATTATTTTATGGTTCTTTGAATATGTTTTTATGTCTATAACCTGGTTCCTCAGGGTAAGGAGCTCTTTTTTATTTTTCATGTCTTCACTGATAGTCGCGAAACTTTATAATTATTGGGCACTGTAAATTTTTGTAAACAATTAATGCCCTAAAAATTATGAAGACCTCCTTTCACTGAGGAAATAAACTTACAGAAAGCAATTGGAAACAATGTAAGTGTCCTAGAATGAGAAGCTGATTAAAAAATCCTTATGGTACCTCTATACAGTAGAGTACAATACTATTAATTATTAATATTATAGAAATATTTAATGGCATTTAATTTTTATGGCATATTATGGTGAGCTAAAACAATCATAGATTATTTTGTAAAACATATATATAGTCATATACAGTATATACTGTTACTGTATACACTCATATACTGACAGACTTATAGAAAATACTTGGAAGGCTGACACAAATATTACCAGTAATTATATCTTGGTGATGGGATTGTGGGTAACTTATTTTTTATCTATCTCTATTTTTGTAAATAAGCATGATACTTTGATAATAAGGAAAATAACCTTAAAATAAAGAAAAGCTCATTGCCTTCAGGACACTATTCTGCACTGTGTATGAAATGAGAACCCAAACTCACCTTGACCCCTGACGAGGCTGTGCCACTCACAGAGTTGAAATCACAAACTATGTAGGCTACAAGGTATGTACTCATTTTTACAGTAGTTTCAAAATGATCTTCCAAGAGGCCTCCTTCAAGTTCAATTGTCTTAACCTACAGGAAGGGAAAGAATCAGTATTTGAAAACTGGAGTATTTTACAAGAATGCCTATGACATAGGCTACGTAAGTTAGAGGAAAGCTTGATGTTCCGAAGGACATGTGATCCCCTTATAGGAGATCAGTGGACCCTTCACAACATTCTGTGGCTTCACCTCTCTCTATTTCTTTTATCTCTAGACTCCCTCGAAGACACAATGTACTACTTTGGGATCTCAAAATGATATCTATTTTGTTGCTTGAAATAAATATTAAATAAATATTTAATTTTCAAATAAAAATATCTTAGATGCTTCTGCTTTCTTGAGATGCAATAATCTCCAACACTGGCATCAATTTAAGATTTGTACTTCTAAGCAAAAATGCCAGAGAAGAGTCCCTTTCCCTTTGTTATATAATAAATAAATCTCTGTTGCAGAAGGAAATGGGAAGCAAAACTGTGCTAGATGGTTTTTTTGTTTTTTTTCTGTGCTAGATGTTTTGCATTATCTTTTAATTCTCCTATTATTTGTGTGTGAGGTAGGTGTTATTTCACAGGTGAGGAAACAGTCTCAGAAATGTTAACTGAATTGCCCAAGATCACACGGCTAGTTCCACGGCAGGATCAAGATGTGGATGTGACCGTGTGACTCTAAAGCCATTGCTCATTCTTCCACTCGCTGGGTGACAGCTTGAGTCATAGTCTTATTTTATCTTTGCTTCATTGATTCAGCAATGAAAGCAGTCAGGCCAAGGAGATCATTAGCGATTTGAGCTTCTGCCTATCTACTGAGGAAGGAAAGAGTTTTAAGGCTACAGACTGGTCAGCCGCATCCATCAAATTCACTGAGTAATTACTGAATTCTATCTTTATTTGCCCTGGATAGCTTGTCCCAGAGACGGTCTTCACCACGGTATGATGCCCCTAAATTCTGAACGGACACAGATCCAGTCATCTGAAAATACCACTTTCTTCAAACTGAAAACAATTCTTAGACTGGCTTGTCCCTCACCCTCTCCAACCTCCTTTTAAGGCATCTGGTTTGTGGCAGTGTTAACCACGGACTATTGAGCATGTTTTATGTGTTTGTATAAGATTGCAGTTTGCTTTGGCGAGAAAAAATAGCTTGAAGTATTATCATAAACTGCCTTGCCTACGTCAATGACAAATGTGTGTGCTATTAAATTCTACAGAATTCTATCAAAAACTCAATTCCTAAGTTTCAATAAAGCAGGAAACACTGACCAAATACTCCAGGAAAGGTAGCAGCATGCATAGGGCTGTAAGTTTTACCTCTGTTCAGCAAGTTAATTTTGTCCAACAATAATCTTTTCTAGGGGTCTGATTCAACCAGAGTTCTATGGGTACATACTCCTAGCAGATGAGAGGGTTATGGTAGGAGCTAGGGAGGGGACGTGATGACTGTGGTCCTCTGACCAAACTCAGCAGCAAGACCCTTTTGTCAAGTGTGTAGATGGGTGAGGGGAGGAAGGGGAAAGGTTGTGGGACTGTGGGGAAATGAGTCTGTGACACTGGACAGCTGGTGGCAGAGACAGGAGACAGGTGGGCATTCCCTCTGATTTCTCCCCTCCCCCCCAGATGAAGACGTAGTCCACAGAGGCTGAGTTTTGTTCAGGAACCTGGAGTGACCCATGTTGATCAACATTGCCTTAAATGGAAGTATTTGGGCTGTTAGTGTAAGTCCTTCCAGGATGGTGATGTAAGCTCTAAGTATAAAACACTTGTTGCTAGAGAAGGATTTAGCTGTCTTCTCAATTTTGGCAGGATTCTACTTGCATAGCAAGTGTCACCAGCAGGTGTGTGTTCCCTTAAGGAATGAAGGGGACAAAGACATGCCCAGAATATATGCTGCCTCTACTAGTGCTTGGCTGACCACCTCACTTCCTAGTGTTCTTAACTTGTATTCCTACATTCTTAACTAAACAAATTGAGAACTTAGTATGTGTCGCTTCTTCTCACCAGTCCATAACCCATCTTAAGCGCTGCAGCTATTATCCAAAGAGTATGGTTGTAGCATTACTTCTGTTCTCCTTTTTTTGGATCACCATGAAAGTCTGGGTTGGGCGTGCCAACGAGAAGCAGAAACTAAAGCCAATATTTGCTGAAAAAGGCATGATCCAGAGAACTGGCCCAGTCAACTGAGGCAATGCAAAGTTCAAGGACTGTATGAAATATTTTCAAAGTTTTCACTTATTTTTCCTAAATATGAGAAGTTACTGAAGGTTTCTAAAGATAGAAAACTGAGATTCTAATATAACTGACAATTGATGTTTGCATCACATTTTAATTAAAAGGCATTACTAACTGTGTTTTTACTTTATCCTCCATGATTACTCATGTGAAAAATTCTGTTAATAAAAAGCTGCCAGGAAAGAGACTGAACTACCCTTAAATGAACATCTGGTTCATAGAAAGAAGACTTGGAGCTAAGTAGCAAATCCTTTTTACCTGAACATGAGGAGGCAAATTAAATTGCTGTCTGTATGATCGTGGAAAAACTGTGGGATATATGTCATGTGGAGTGTGTCGCTTTTCCCCTTGATCTGCTCTGCAAGTATTTCAAAGCAAACACTTTTCTAGCATTAAACAGAAATCTGGGGGAAATTTAGCTTATGGACTCATTTCCCCCGTTCATCCACAGAGGACAGTCACTGTGGAGGGCAGAGAGGAAACTAGGGTGGAGTCACTGGCTGGGTTATGATGACCTGGATGCTTTCTGAGCTCATTCTGCTGAAGCACTGTCCGGAGAGCCTCTATTTTTATCCTACTTTCTAAGTAGCAATGGGGAAATATTTTATATTTCGTTCAACAGCTCAAAAGGCAAGCATATCATTAGTGAGGAAATATCAAATGAGGCTCAGTGTCTACTGTGTCATTCAGAGTCTCTGCATTTTGAGTATAAATATGACTCAAATAAAAGTGTTCAGAGGTCTCTCTCAATTAAAAAAGTTTATAACTATGAGATAAAATTTTCATAAATAATTTTAAGCACTACACGTGGAACTTAAAAAAAAAAATTCTACGTTATATCACAGACTACTAGATCAGAATCTCCAGGATGGGGCCCAGGCAAGCTTCTCTAGATCCTTACCACTCCAAATGTGGTCTCTGGACAAGCAGCAGTGGTATCACCTGGGAGCTTGTTAGAAAGTCAGAATTTTGAGCTTTACCTCAAGAACGACTGAATCAGAATCTGAATTTTAACAAGATCCTCAGACAACTCATCTGAAAATTAAAGTTTGAGAAGTGCTGTTCTGGGCAATTCTGAATTTCATCGCTAGCCAAGTAACACTGATTTAAAAGAACTCTGCTTCCATATAAACACAAATAAAATAGAAATCACTTTATGTAAAAAATAAAGCTTCTTGTGAAACAATGCCCAAACAGAATGATGTTAAAATCTAGATGGATTGGGGTAATGTAATATGTAGAAGGATCAAAAACAAACTAATGGCTTAAGTCCTGAAAACAAACAAAATATTAAAACACAACAAAACAAAGACCAAAGTTCATTTTGAGAACAATTCCCCAAAGTTTCTAAAATTGGCAAATACCTTTGGCATGTTGGATAGGGCAATGTGTCTGCTCTCTCTTCTTATCTTGATCGAAAAGTTGGCTTTGAACAATGGTTCATCAAAACAAGGGAAAGCCATTCGTGCCTGGGTTGGCTCAAAATCCGTTACTGCAATTGTTCTGTGAAAAGAAGTACATTACAAAAAGAATACACAAATGAAGTCAAAAAAAAAAAATGAATTTGTACCTTCAGAGCACAGCTTATCAAACCTGGAGGTGATACGTTTGATTTCTCAAACTATAACCTTAGAGAATCCAGAATCTATTTGTGAAGAAAATGAGGGTAAAATTTTGTTTAGTAGCTGCCAGTCATGAATAATGCATGGCGCTGGGCACTCTATTTACATGATCACCTTCATACTCATAGCAGAGAAGGATATTGAGGCTCAGGGAATTTGAGTGACCTTACCAGGACCCTTAGCTAGTAAATTTGCTGAGCTAGTCATGCCCAATTTGACTTCCAAATTGACTAGGAAATTGGTAGTTTAGTGTCATCACTAAACCTGAGCGGGCCTCAATCAGACATTTGAATACCTGTGAGATGAGTGATGCCTTAGGTTGTGTTCCCAGGAAGCAGATCCGGATTTATAAGAACAGGCTGCCAAGAGAAACAGGTAGGGCTTCCCTGGTGGCGCAGTGGTTGAGAGTCCGCCTGCTGATGCAGGGGACACGGGTTCGTGCCCCAGTCCGGGAAGATCCCACATGCCGCGGAGCGGCTGGGCCCGTGAGCCATGGCCGCTGAGCCTGCGCGTCCGGAGCCTGTGCTCCGCAACGGGAGAGGCTACAGCAGTGAGAAGCCCACGTACCGCAAAAAAAAAAAAAAAAAAGAGAAACAGGTAAAGGAGGGAGGGAAGCGGGACAGGGAAGAGGAAGAAGTCAGGCCCGGTGCCAGCTTCAGCTTCATCCCTGCGGAGCTCTGGAGTGGAAACCACACCTTCAAGTTTTCCCCTACTGGAGGCAAGGAGCTGGGCTTTCATATTCTGTATCGTCATTGGCTAAGGGTCTTCCTGGGGGACCCAAGCTTCCCCCCCAGACACATCTAGCTCTCTCTGCTTGCCGGCAAAGCAGGTCCAGCCTTCAGACTATAACAGGTAGATAGATACTCTGACAAATCTCTATACCCCATCACCTTGATAATGCTTGAAATGATATAATTACAGATTTATTATTTGGGCTTTAAAGCTTTAATTAAGCAGCAACTCTGGAGAGCATATTTTGATTGAAGAAGGAGAGCAGAATAGAAAAGCTCAAGAGACAGATAAAGGCTGAGAAGGGCCAGGAGGAGGGAAAAGAGGGCCTGTCACGATAATGTTGCCTCCGTCTACTGTATTTCTATAATACAGGCTGGAAAAGTGAGACTGGGAGCTAAATGATTTGTTTGGGGCCTCGGTATTACTTGGATTCAGTAACAGGTCCTACAGAAGTAAAGGAATCTCAAGTACCTGGAATAATTTTTACTAATGTGAAATTTTGATTATAGTTAAGTTTTAGAATGGAAAAGCCCAAACTTTAAGATCTTTTTTGCTATTTACACAATTTTAGTGCTGCATGCAAAGTAGTGAGTTCCTGCTTCTCAAAGAATTATTGTTGACTGAATTATTTTTGTATTTTAAGTTAAGTTGTGTATGTATGCATGTGTGTGTGTGTGTGTGTGTGTGTGTGTGTGTGTGTGTGTATGAAAAATAGAGAGGTAATAAAATGCTGCTGACACTGTCCTGCAAATCATCCTACATGCGAAGACCTACTAGGTGACTGAGTATGAAGAGAGCTGACTAATTAATCATAAGAAGAGTCAGAAATAGTCTGCAGTTAATTATGGGAGGCATGTTACTTTCCAAGCTTCTACTCTAAAAAAATTCCCCCTCTGGTCTCCCTCATCTCCCCAAATTATATCCTTAAAATGTATTTCTTTTAGGTGGAGGTTTTGTCACTTGAAAAAAGTGAAATAAACCATCACTGGTCACATGGTACCTCAGTGAGAAGTTGATGTTTCCTATCCAATACTGTGCTGGACCTGAGAATAGGCCTCTGAGAATTGAGGCTGCAACGAGGGGAAGCGTCTCCAAGGGAAGGGGAGGTGGGCCTGGGGAAGGGCTGTCCTCAGTAAACTGCTGGGGGCTGTGGGGTAGGCATGTGAGCTGCAGAGGGCAGTGAGCACCTGAAGTGGGGAAGGGGAGGTAGGCAGCAGACACTGCGGGGCTAAAGTCGCCTACCAATATCCACTCTCCTTCTTCAGTTCCAGTAGAATCCTGATTTTGTTCAGGAAGGCAATGTGTCTGATGAAAAAATCACTTCTCTAGATTCTCTTGCAACTTGGTGGGCACATGACTCGTTCTGGCCCAGTTGAAGTCATTGGGTGAGAAGTCGTGGTAAAAGGAGTCAGACTCAGCTGGAATGTTTCTTTTTGCATTTTCCTCTCCCCCATCTCCCCCTTTTCCTGCCTGGAATGTGGACTTGATGCCTAGAGGTGCAGAAATCATTTTGTATTAGGAGGAAAGTCATATGCCAAGGATGGCTGAGTAGAAAGATACGAGGAGCCTGGGTCCTGGATAATATTGGTACACACTGTAGCATACCTGGGATGCCCTGCTTCTGGATTTCTTGCTGCATGAGAAAAACAAGTGTGTGGCAAAGCCATTGTATTGGGGGTTTCTCAAACCGGCAATTGAATGCAACTGATAAAATGTAGGAGAGCACTGAAACCAGACTCCTCTCCCCTCTGAGATGGACCCTGGCCCTGGACAACCACATCATCCCCTCTATGAAGCATCCTTGGTTCCTCTCTTTCTCTTGCCTTACAGAGTCAATGTCAGCAAATTCTGTCTGTTTTACACTTGAAAACAAATGCCAAGTTCAATCACTTCACTCCATAAGCTGCACCACTAGCCTGGCCCAAGCCAACATCCTTTCTGGCCTGAACAATTGCAATGACCTCCTAAAAGACTAACCTGCTTCTACTTTTTCCTCTCTATAATGTACCATCAACATATACTTGATCTTTATAAGACGTACATCACATCAGAACTTTCCAGTGAATTCCCATGGCCCCTGAGTAAAAGCCTAAAACAAGAGGCTCTAAGTCTCTCTCTACATGATCTGACCCCTCTCTACTCTACTTCTCTCCCTCTCTCATTGTCCTTCGTCTCTCAATCACTCCCGCCTTACAGACTTTGCACTTGCTGATGCCTTTGCTGGGAACACCGTGCCCTTAGACGTCCTCATGAAAGTTCAGGTCTCAGTTTAAATGCACTTCCGCCTCACCAAGAACTTCCCTGACCACTCAGCTAAATTATTCCCAATCCCTAGTCTATATCTCACTACTATACATTCAGTGCCTAGAACGGTACCTGGCACATAGCATGGGCTCAATAAACATGAGCTGATCAAATAGACCATATTTCTCAGTTCTCCAAACTGACTTGTTTCTGTCTTCTGGATTTGAGTCACACTGTTTCCTGGGCAATGTATGTGCTTTCATTTCCTCTCTCCCAACCCAAATCTTATGTACATTTCCTTTTGGTCTCAGATCAAGTCTAACCTCCTTTGAGAAGCCTTTTGCATTTCAGCTCTCTCTGCACTGACCATCCTTTCCCCTAGGAGATAAACACATCAGTCTTGTCATAGTCATATATTGGCCTTTCCTCCTGGTTATTCTCTCTCTAGCCACTTATGCCTCTGCATCCTGTGTTCCCATATTTATTGTGATTTCCTTTAGGAATGGCAGAGCTTCTCCTTCTGAGTTTCCCCATAGTTTTTCGGGCTTTTCATAAATGACTACTGAAGCATGCTCCTGGCAAAGAGACATAACACATAAGGAAAGTATCACAAAAGACTATAAACAACTGGAGCTACATCTTACCTTGTTTCACCACCAAGAGTTCTGTACGTGCTTTTATAAAAGCCTTCAAAACCATCAGCTAGCTTGGCCCGGAAGTCAATAGCCACAGAATATCTCAGGTCAGCCATAAGTTTCTCTGGAATCAGCAGTGCAATTTGTTCATGAGCAGGATAACTCAAAACAGTTAGCTTTCTCCCTGGTCTCCTGTATCTCAAATCTTCCTCTGACTGAAGAGTAACATTCATGATTTCAAGATCTTTGCTGTGCAAGATGATGAATCGGGTGGCATCTCGAACCAAGACTTCAATCTTCTCAGATGCAACAAAGTCCAGGGAGGTGAGATTTGGGTGGACAAAAAGGTCATAGTGGAGGGGAATGACCATGGTGGGGAGCCTTAGCTCATGCCAAGGAAATATTTCCCCATTGATGGCTACTGGGAAAGCCCCACGGTCCTTATTGAACTGATCAATAGATGAACTTGTGAACTGAGAACAAATACATATTTGGATGACTGCTGAGCAGTAAAATCCTATGGAAATATTAAATATTAGTTTTCTGCGTGAATTAGCCATTACAGTAGAATGGAATACTAAATCTATTCTCTAGAAGACGAGTTAATATCCAGGCTAAATCTCATAGTTCTCCATAGCACCGTGTTGGCTCCAGTTATGTCACTCAGGATCTGAACAATATGTTTCAATAAATGGACTTAACCTAGAGAGAAAGAAAAAAAAAAACATTTATAGCATGAAGAAAAAGATTTCAATTTATAAATATAACCTGAAAAATAGATGGGCATATGTGCATTGTACCAAATATCGACAAAATAAAGTAGAAATTATCATCTGGGTATTATAAATAAAATTTTTTTAGAGCTCAATTGAAGGGACTCTGCCTTAAAATTACATCTATGGAATCCCCTCTGCATTCTGTGCAATGGGCAGAAGGTAGGTGTGTAAATTCATTGCATGTTGAGCATTTTTAACATTTGGTTAGATCATTTTAAGAGTGTGTCTGGATACCTGAACATAAACTGCACAGGTGTCTCTATTTTGTCTTAATAAGTCATGAAGAATGCTCAATATTCTTTGGATACCAGATATTACTATTATCAATGGCTTTGAACTTCACCTCTTTCAATAAATAACAGCTGAATGGCCCAATTCTATGGCTGCTGGTATAAAGGATGCTGGTCAAGCTAAGTGTTTACCCTCAGTTTATTTCCAATATATCAAAAGCCATGGAAATAAAATTTCATTTATAATATTCAAACAGAGTATTTTTAAAAGTTGCTTTGGTCTTCCTCATCTCAGGCTACCTTTGAAAACACAAATCAAACTGAACTCACACTGCCTCTGTAAATAAAACTAAGACAATCTCTTCTTGTTAGAAGGGTAACACTACAAAACATAAAATAAGGACAAACAATATATGTGGTTAATTTAGGTACTCAGTTCTGACACCCCCCTGTCACCTGCCTCTATTTTATTTACCTTCTCCCTGCTTCAACTTAAACCCATGAATGGTTTCCTTTCCTTTTCTTTTTTATCATTAACACATTCTTTTGAATTAATTGTCTAAACAGTTACTTCAATTTTCCAATCTGCAATATTAATGCAGATCAACAAATATTGTTAAAGAAACAAAGAAAAAGAAGAAAATGATGGTTAAATAACAACACTCCTCCCCTCTTTTTAGACAAGCATTAAATTATTGCTACCAAATCCCAATGTTCCAAGGGCCTCTGATATATCAAACCATAATTGGTCTATTAGCTTGAATTTCTGATGGTTTGAAAAATGAAATTATTTATTTGTTAGGTCCTGGGCTTGGGAATCAGAGTGCCTGTGTCCCAGCTCTAGCTCCATGGTACTTAACCTGTATGATCTTGGGCAAATTTTCTGATTTTTTTGAGCATCAGTTTCCTCGCCTATAAGATAGGGTAATGGTTGACACTAACATTGAGAGGATTAAGTGTAATAATTCATGTGAAGAATATGGCACAGCATAGCAACTAGCATGTAGGGAGCATGTAATGAATGTTAAACATTAAATTTTTATTGTGGTTACTATAACTCACATTCTCTGGCCTAAACTATGGTGCTTTGCCCCCACATGTAGCAGACATACCCAAAGGAAGTTATATTTTTTTGGTAAGAGAGGAGAAAAAGGCCTTGATATTTACTCATGTAGTCTTTAACTTTAGAACTGATAAGAACTTTAAAGGCCAGCTAGTACAAGTCCTTCGTGTCCAGATAAAGAAACCGAGGGTGAGTGACTCTCCCAAAATCACATAGGAAGTTTGAAGGAGAATCGGGACTAAAATACAGTTCTTTGACCCTTTGTCTAATGGGTTTTCCATTATACTGTGCTTTAGTGTTTTGAACAACACATCCGGAGATGGAAGACACAAGAACTGCAACAAACATTTGGCAAAAGCTAAGAGAATCTCCAAAAGAGAGTGAGTCAGTTAAACAGATTCTTAAATAAAATCCTATCCTTAACTGCACTGCACGAACTTTCCAATACAGTAGTGCCAGATTCACCCACCTTCCCCAGATCCCCACCTTAGGCTGCAAGAGCTCCTCAAGACAGAAGTTTTATACCTGCAGTTCAGGTCATTATTCTCACTGAAAAAATAATGATTTTAAGACAAAGTCAAGAGAAATGTTGATGTGTTACCTTAATCCACGCTGTTGCAGACTTGAATGGAGGGGAATTTCGTTTTGCTTTCACTTTCTATTAGGGTAAGATTCAGAACTTTGCATAACTGAAATTAACAAGCAGCTTCAGAGTAAAAGTCACACCACGGCAAGGCCACGTGGGACTCCAGCAATCCCAGTGACTGCTGCTCCTGCTGTTTTATCCTCCCATGTCCCCAGGTGAAGCCTTCAGAAACTAGTTTTTTTGTTTTGTTTTGTTTTTTAATGCTGAGTTATTTTAAGACACGATCTTGAATTCCTCGCTGTGCTGTGTCCATATTACTGTGAAATATGACCTCCGTCCAACCACCTGGAAAAGGTAACTCCCAGCCAGCTTCTATGACCTTTAACAGAGATGATATATACCCCTTTCCTATGTCTATAACCTCCTGCCTCCTGGGCATAAAGGAGCTCTCGCCCACCTTTATGTCTCTCCATCTTTCTTGGGCCTTCTTTTCCTCACCATCCTGGATATGGGCCTTCCACAAAGATAAAACCTCTGTTCTCTGCTCTTTTCCCACTTTACTGTTTCCTTCGGAGAATATGTTCAAGTGCAGAGATTTCTTATTTCCCCTCACCCATCCCACATTTCCCTCTCCTGATCTCTCCTTCCAGGTTTCTTCTGCTGCAGTTCCAACAGGCTGATAGACTGTCTTCATGTGGATGTTCTGCTAACAACTCAAGCAATGTCTTCATCCCCAGATCAGAGCCTTTTGCTTTAACTTCATCTGCTTCGAGTCTTCCTCCATTGTCTATGACTCGTCCTTTTTAATCTCTTTTTATCCAGCTTAAAAAATTTTTTTCCCATAGTCATTAAAACAGTCTAGGTCCTCATCACTCCTCACATCAGCCTTCAAACAAGTTTTGCTGCTTCTCAAGATGTGTCCTTGCAGTCCTCTTGTACGATGCCCTCCAGCAGATTATTTCAGCCACTGCTTGATCATGCCACCCCCTGCTCCATATACATTTCCATGGTTTCCCCCTGTTTAGACAGGCAGTTCCCCGTGTGGAGACCGTGCGAGGCCCGCTGACAGCCTAAAGTCCACATGACCTCTTTCAAGGCCCATCTGATGTTTTCGTTTAGATCCTAGTGCAATAAAGGGCCACGCTGGCACACAAGTGTTGTTCTTGAGTGAAGTATAACGAGCTTTGTTCCTATCGTCTTTAGGCCTCCTTCACACACTGGTTTTCGTGCCTTGTCGTGCTGTGCATCTCTGTTTGCAACCTGGGTTTGGTTCCACATTCAGTAGCTGCCGTGATTAGATCCTAGTTAGCTCTTGATCCTCAATTTCTTTTCCCTTGTTATATTTTATCATTTCAACCTGGATGAAAAACTTAATAAAGTAGAAGGAGCAAAACCAAGGAGGTAGCCTATACCTAGGGCCAGAGGCACAGACCTGTATAGAGTCCCTTGGAGTGGCATTTCCTATAGTTAAAGGGGTACAATGGGTGGGATGGATGGAAACAGGTGACTGGGGAAAAGGGGACAAAAAAGAGGAGGCACCATGGGCCAATTCTTGGAAATCGAATTCTGCAGCGGAGGAGGGGAGGGGTGAAGGAGATATAGGAAGCTGGGGGTAGTTCTGTGACATTGTCACAAGCCCCAGCCCAGTTGTGTGTGTCTGTGTGTGCTCAGAACTCTCCCCCACCCATGAGAACAGAAGTGATGACAGAGAATGAAGAAAGAGGGCCATCAGACTGAGCTACTGAGTCCCAGAAGAGGAAGCTGAGTAGGGTTTAGGTGACGTCATAGTTTACTGTTTAAAACTCTCTCTCACCAAAAGGGGTTTCTAACCTTTTTATTTCCTGCTAAGAGAATAAGCTTTGGGAAGCTTGTTGCTTAGGGAATTCACATGTCACTTCACCTGGTCTTCTGATCTGTCTCTTGCTCGGAGACTCTCCTTATTGACTTTATCTAAAAGGAGTAGCACTCCCCCCTCAACCCACCCCTGCCGCCACCCAGTGTCTATCTCCTTAGCCTGCTTTTTTTTTTCTTAGCTTTTATCAGTTCCTGAGAGTAAACTATATATTGATTTATTTGTTTGTTTTATGTCTCCCCATTAGAACATAAGTTCCTTGCAGGCAGGGAGTTTGTCTGCTTTGCTTGCCTCTTTTTTTTTCCTTTTTTATAAATTTATTTATTTATTTTTGGCTGCGTTGGGTCTTTGTTGCTGCGTGTGGGCTTTCTCTAGTTGCAGCGAGTGGGGGCTACTCTTCGTTGCGGTGTGCGAGCTTCTCATTGCGGTGGCTCCTCTTGTTGCGGAGCACAGGCTCTAGGCACACAGGCTGCAGTAGTTGTGGCATGCGGGCTCAGTAGTTGTAGCTCATGGGCTCCAGAGCACAGGCTCAGTAGCTGTGGCGCATGGCTTAGTTGCTCCGAGGCATGTGCGATCTCCCCGGACCAGGGCTTAGAACCTGTGTCCCCTGCATTGGCAGGCAGATTCTCAGCCACTGCACCACCAGGGAAGCCTGCTTTGCTTGCCTCCTAACACCCAGAGCCTAGAGCAGAGGCTGGTATATGAAACCCTCAATAAATATCTGCTGAACAAGTGAATGCATTTTCAATATTTGTCGTTTTTTCTTTAATTTTCAGATTGCCCTTCGCTTGCTCCAAGCTTCAGACAAAGCAGGGAGCTTTCCACTTCTGGATGAGCCCAGGGTTCCCTTACCTTTACTGAGGCTGCCACTCTGTGTTCCATACATCTCTCTCAGTGTCCCCTGTGTAAACTTCTTATTGCAAGGCAAATGCCTCCTCTAGGAAGCCCCCTTGGAAGTGACACATGCTTCCTTTCCAGTCCTAACTGCAGGCACTTGTTTAGTCAGTTCAATTGGCCCTTACCTTACACTAACATACTTGTTCTTCACATCCTTCCTTAAATTATCGACGCCCAAAGGCTAGGGACCAAACACTATGCCTGGACCTCTCTCCAGCACCTCTCAGAGCGTTGCACACCTCGTAGGCCCTCAACAAACAGATGAGAATGAATGAGAGTGAATTTTCCAAAGACCTGAAACACTTAATTTTCAGAATGTTCAAAGATTTTTAAACTAATTTTAATGGAAATCTTTCTTATGTATATTACAACTATTTCCATCCTGTTAGGGTGCACTCAACAGATTTAAATTGTAGTGACCCAAGTTTTTAATTACAAACTGGACCTAGAATCAAGAGAATTGGACTCAAAGCCATCTTCTGAAAATAAATCACTTCATTTCCTAATTAGAGACAGTAACACTTTCCTAATTATTACATAGGATTATTGTCCATCTCAGTATCAATTTGAGATAACATGTGAAAACAGTTTATAAATGTTTTATAAAATAAACTTTAGAAGTTTCAACATGCAACAATTACCTTAACAACAATAATCAGTGACTATGCTGGGTTGTAATGAAGTGCTGCCCTTGAGGGGAATGAAATCTAGTAAATACCCCCATGTTGCTATATCTTCTTGAATTCTTTTTCTGTTTTTTTTCTTGAATTCTTATGGGTACTATGCAAAGTTTATTGCAGTTCCTCCATTATCCTCAAATTTTTATTTACTTTTTGTTGTTACCTTCAGCCATCCTCAGCTTCCACCCTAGACCTGTTTCTAGACTTCTAAAGCACTGCGAGCTGAAAAATTAGCAAATGAAGCTAGTTGGACACTATCTCAGGCACTCAGGTGCCTCAAAAATTATTTCCTAGTGCTGCGGGCTGTGCTGCATGTGGGGAGAGTTCAGGATAAATGAAATGATAAATGGCCTCCTTACAAATGAAATGTTCCTGAATCTCCTCCTCTCTTTCTGCAGTTGAATTTCCTGTCCTGAACACAGGCACAGCTTGGCCTTTGTCCCAGCTCGATGCTATCATTCTGAACACCAGCCAACTTACAGTCTTAAAAACCACTTCCTCTCACTTCTTTTCAAAAGGATCTCTAAAACTCTGTTGAAAGTACTTCACAGAATCATTGCTATGTCTCTGTACAATTTCAAATAAAATGGAGGCAAAATCTATAATATCGTTTAAAAATTTTTTAATTAAAAGAAAGATTTCTGATAGTACAAAGACCCAGGGTCTATGCAAAATAGGAGGGGATGGGGGCTGGAATTCACCTAGTGAATGCATGCTATAGCTTTTTAAAAATTCATTCAGTTTCAGCAGAAAATTAAAAAAGCATAATGTCAGAATTTTAAGTCAAGAACTGACAGAAAGATGGTCTTTCAAAAATCGAGAGCTTTAGTAAGCCTTCCACGATATTTACTAAAAATAAAAACAGAAGACTGCAACAATAAAAAAATCTTACATTGTTGAAGTAGAACACAAATTAAGCAAACCTGACTTTGGATAACTAAAGATCTGCAGGTGGGTGAACGCGGGGATGCAAAGCCTGCAGGTACTGAGGGCCGACTGTGGTCCTTGTACCATGCCATTTCATAGAAGGGACTTGAGCACCCGAGGATTTTGGTGTTTGGGGGGCTCCTGGAACTAATGCCCCAGGCATGCTGAGGGATAAGTGCACCCACATTTAAATTTTTTATTTAATAGCCAAATGAAAATTTCTGGTGCTTCTGTCATTTTCCAATTAAAGATTACCTAAAAAACTGGTGACATCATCAAACAACATGGTTGCAAAATAAACAAGAGTGATTCTGAGCTTGTCAAATACTTTATTTTGAAAGGAAAAATTTATGCTTCCAACTGCTAAAGCCAACTGATTAGTAAATCAGTATTTCTTGGCTTCCTAGAATTTAAAGACTTAAAGGTATAGAAGAACTTCCGCTCTGGCCAAGATAGAATAGGGACTGGAATTTATCCTGTCACTTGAAACAATGCCCCCTCACCCCCAAAATGTATAAAAGACAGTTTGCAAGTCGAAGACTATCGGGCAAGTGAAAGTAGTGATCCCCGAAGAGATGGAAACAAAGGAGGTTAGGGCTGTGACAGGGGCCAGCTGAGTGCCTTCAGAGAGATTCCTCGCAGCTGTGTAGGGGGGCGAGCGGAGGCGGAGCCTAGCGGACCTTTTGAGTTGAGGTAGGTGCAGCTGAGTGTGGGTGGGCAAGAAAGTAGCGTTCACAAGAGAGAAGACAACG